GAAGAAGAAGAAGATGACGAGCGGAGCAGTTTTTTTTTTTTTTCCCCTTACCTGTCGTTTATCTCGCGACCTATCGCTAACGAATGTAAAAGAAAAGAAGAAAAAGAAGATAGTCGGAAGAGGAGGAGGAGGAGAGAAGAATAAGAAGAAGATGAGGGGGAGGACGACGACGCGAGATGAAGAAGAAGAAGAATAAGATGAGAGGGGGAGGAGGAGGAGGAGTGAAGAAGTGGAAGAAGAAAAGCAGAAGAGGTAGAAGAAGAAGAAGAAGAAGAAGAAGAAGAAGAAGAAGAAGAAGAAGAACAGACCGGCACTCCACGTCGACGGGTGGCAGGGGTTGTCGGCAGGCAGGAGCACCGCGATCGACGACGCTGGCAACGGGCGACGGGCGACTCGACGACGACGGGTGAGTGAAGCTCCCAGGCGATGGCGACGAGGGGCAGCTACTTCGACGACGGGCGACTCGACGACGAACGCAGGCGGCTGGTGCAGGTATCGAGGCCCCGTTTGGACAGCCAATGCAGGCCGCCCCAGCCAGTCGCTTGTTCAAACGGAGCCTCCGTTTTCCCTCCAAAAACGAACGGCCCTCTGGCCGTTGATCATGGATGATCGACGGCCAGAGGGCCGTCCCAAATTCAAAAAAAAAAAAAAGCAGGCCTCACGGGCACAACGCGCCATTTTCTCGGCGTGGTCAGACCCGGTAGGCCCTGGGGAGGCGAAATCTCGCCGATTCGGCTTCGGAAACCCCCCGCCAACAAGGTGTGCTGGGGGGGCCCGGCCCCCAACCGGGCCGCCCGCCCGGCCAGGCTGCCCGGGACCTTCCCCGGGCAGGCGCCGGTAGGCCGGGCGGCCCGGATCCGTACGCAGTATTTTATGCAATTATTATTCACTCGAAATCAATCATTTAACGTGAAGAATTTTTATAAAAGTAACAATTATGGTTTGTCTATCTTTATAAGGTGGGAATAAATTTACTATAGTTTAGGAAGAACTACGGTGGAAAACCATTTGCTTGTTTATCCTTGCGACTTTCTCGTTTTCTTATATAATTTGGAGCATCAATCTTAAAAAGGCAAAAAAGAATTAAAATCTAAAAATCTTTAAATATATGGGAAAGAAAATGTTGTGCAGAATTGCAATGCAAAGTTGCAAACAACTTTTGGCTGAGGGTCACCTCACTAGTGCGAGACTCAAGGCCTCGATAAGCCCTACTGGGCCCTGTTTTCAGTAAGAAAGGCTGCCCTAAGTGAAAGCGGGCCTGACAAGTGATGAGAGGCCTATTTTAGGCTTTCACACAACTGGGAAATTCAGCCAG